AAGCCTCAGTAATACGCTTTTTATACCACACACACAAAATGGTGAGCATGCGTTCGCATTGCTCAAAAAGCGAACCTAGACGAAGTTTGTGTGACCGACTACGTTTTTACCGCTAGCAGTATTCTAATTTGGGCACTGGTGTTGTATGAGGAGGCACAACATGGCAAGCGTGCGCACGCAAAACAGCACTCAGCCTTGGCCTAGGCGTTGTCTCAGCCTCACGATTGGACTGAGGCTGAGGCTATGCTTAGGCAGCCTGAGCCTCGGCCTAAGCCTCAGCCATAATGCTTTTGAGCGTGCGTATGCTTGCAGTTGTGCCCCTCAAACGACACTTGTGCTTTGATATAAATGTATCCATATAAATGTTGCTTCAACGCTGCCAGAGAGAATTTCGAAACGGTACCAGTGTAGTCTTTGGCGGCAACGGCGAACGTGCGCACGCTCAGCAGCACTGTAACGCTTAGGCTGGGGCTCAGCCTCAGCCTCAACTTAAGCCCCAGTCTAAGCATGAGGCTGGGGCTACGCTTAGGCTAAGGCTGAGCGTCGGCCATAGTGCTGTTGTGCGCGCACACTCGCCGTTACCCTCCAAGACTACACTAGTGCCTTCGAAAATTGACAACTACAAAAGTCTTTGTGCTTGTGATCCTTTTCATTAATTAATTGTTTCATGAGGTATTCGTTCATTGCGCGTTTAATTTACACCTTTATATTTCCACTACTTAGGACTATCATCGTGCGGTAGTGGAATTACATATCCTTTATCATTTGTTCGTGTTCAGGAAAACGTGTTTTCTATAATTGCATTTAGATTCAGTCAACTTAAAGATGGGTCGCCCTGAATATTCACCAAGAGGGGGTGGAGGTAAATACAGTTGTTATTTTGACGTGAGGTTTCACTCATATTAGATCTAACTGAATTGCGATCAATAGCAGAGATTTTTTCATCACCTATTTTTTGTGCATTTATAATAATATGTAAGCATGATATCTTTTTTTTAGTGGGTGTAAGTCTATGAAGTATATGTTGAAGTAAGTTTAATTAAAAAATTGCCCAAATCTTCTCCAATCGGAATATTGTTTTAAGGTGGTCGGGGTGGTGGATTCCGCGGATCACCTCGTGGCTCGGGTGGTTTTGGTGGTACGTTTCGTTTGGCTGATTGATTAATTGTTATGTTATTTGGTAATAGGTTTGATTAAACGAATAATTTTTAGGTCGGGGTGGTGGCTTCGGAGGAGGTAGTGATCGAGGAGACCGAGGAGGTAATTCATCTATTCGTAAATTATATTTTATTTCTAGTTTAGATCATATTACCATTTATTATTATTGCTGATTTGATTAGTTTTGGGTTATAAATTGGTTATTACAAAAATAAATAATTTGATTGTTCACTTGTGTTTCAGGTCGCGGTGGTCGTGGTGGAGGTTTTAAACGAGGAGGTTTTGGAGATCGAGGTGGAAGAGGCGGTTTCGGGGATAGAGGCAGTTTTGGGGATAGAGGCGGTGGTCGTGGCGGGTTGGTTCTTTAATCACGTTTTATTGATGTCATTTCCAAATCGCAAATCAATGAATAAATTCAGATTCGGTAGTCGTGGATCACCACGAGGAGGCTCACCCCGTGGTCGAGGTGGTCGTGGTGGTGGTGCTGGGGGTATGAAGGGTGGTAAAAGGGTCGTGGTTGAGCCACATCGTTACGAAGGTGTGTTCATTGTAAAGGGCAAAGAAGATGCACTTGCAACTCGCAATTTGGTCGTCGGTGAGTCGGTGTATGGCGAGAAACGAGTCTCTGTTGAAAGCACCTCTAACGATCCCAGCTCCACTTCCACCGCTCCAGTCGAATATCGCATCTGGAATCCTTTCCGTTCCAAACTCGCTGCTTCGATGATGGGTGGTTTAGATGACATCCATATCAAACCGGGCACTAAATTACTTTATCTTGGTGCTGCTTCCGGTACCACCGTTTCACATTGCTCTGACATTGTTGGACCGGTCAGTTTTATTGTTACTTCATTGCTGTCGTCATCATAGTAATTTGTCGCTGATCATCTTATTTGAAGGAGGGTCTTGTTTACGCAGTTGAATTTTCAAATCGTTCTGGTCGTGATCTATTAAATGTTGCGAAGAAACGACCGAATATAATACCAATAGTTGAAGACGCGAGACACCCCCATAAGTATCGGATGCTTGTTGGTATGTGTTTGGTTTATTAAACGTTGTTGCTAGTGTGTAATTAAATTCAATTGAAGGAATGGTCGATACGATATTCTCGGATGTAGCACAACCAGATCAAGCACGTATCGTCGCACTAAACGCACATCATTTCCTCAAGAACGGAGGCCATGCTGTCATTTCTATTAAGGTCATTTGTGTTTATTCACATTTAAATTCTCATCAGTGTTGTAGCATCCTGTCATAATGTTCACATTTTTCGTCGTCTCTTTGTTAATTTTACCTTTAGTTATGATTCTATCTCAGCTTGTTCTTCAGGCGAATTGTGTTGATTCAACGGCAGAACCGGAAGCAGTGTTCGCAGGTGAAGTGAATAAATTAAAAGCTGAAAAGTTCAAGCCTCGTGAACAAGTCACGTTGGAACCTTATGAACGAGATCATGCAGTTGTGGTGGCTGAATACCGACCAAAAAAGAAAATTGTTGCTTGATTCTTGAGGTGACTCATCGACACCACCAGAAAAAAACTATATTTAAACGCCGATTTGATCACATAAATAAGAATACTTATTCTTGTGAGTCGATTAAAGGTTAATAAATTAATTATAATGATGATGGAATTCTATTCAGTTATATGATGAATTAGTGGGTGCTTGTTGGTATGTGTTTGGTGAATTAGTGGGTGGATGTCGATGAGATTAATAGAACCTGATGGTTGTTGTTTGTTTATTTGACTTGGTCTCGATGATTTTACCATGTTTTGTTCATTGTTTTTTGTTGAAATTTTTATATCAAATGTTACTAATTCTACTTGATTGATGAATAAATTTGTTATCGTCTTTAGTCAGTGGTCGATTGTTACAACATTCGTGCCGTTCGTTTGAGACTGTTTAGACTAAAAGAGTCGGAATCTATCGTCACTCTCACTGCGAGTAGAACCAGTGAATGAAGACTTATGATATATTGGTGTAGATTAGGTAGTTAAGATTGAACTGTGAGTTAAATTTGAAACGTTTATTGCATGAACAATGAGCTGATTTCGTCAGAGAGGTGGAATGGAATCTGGTTACGGCTAGGGGTCATTGTGCACTTAAAGACTGCCGAAGCATATGAATAAGAAGTAACTAATTCGGATGCATTTTTCATCAATTCTGTGTCAATCACAGATCCAAATCTCAAAAAATTGAACGCGTCACAGTTGGATGGAATGAGTTAAAACAAACGAGGACATTGATGCAGGAAGAACGCAGTGCAACTTTGTTTAACTTATGATGAACGATGCTTATGATGAGCGAACAATAGCAAGTGCACTGAAGGAAAGATTATCGAGCTGGGACATTAAATGTTTGCACACATATCCGGCATCTTTAATGAGACTATCGTCGCTGGTTGCACCACAAGCACGGGGAAATGGAGCACGTGAATCTGCAATGGAGCATGATCAGATGTAATTCCGTGATCGATACACACTTAGCTACCATAAAGAATATTCACCGATTTCATAAAGAGTGTCATCTCTGTTCACGTAACAGATGAAGTGATGTTCGAGAGGGTGTTCGCTCTCCACATTCGTATCACCACTGCGAGCACAACTCTCATGAGCCTCTTCCAACTCTTCGTTGTTTGCCAATGAATCCGATCGTGATTCCGCATCCAATTCCAATGCTTTATCCAACCATTCTTTCAGAGCACCACCTGTACTGATCGTCTATTCGTTCTTATCAATAAACAACAACTAATCAACAATACTTACCCAAATGAATCTTATCACGATTATTGGCCAATGCATGAATCAATGCGAATGTTCCGCATGCGTTCGATATTTTCTGCTTCATGAAGAAGAGGTTGTTTGGTATATTGCAACCTTGCTTGATCAGCTGATCATAAACAGGACTCATCAGCTCGTCAACCTTCATTGCATAATCATTCATCCATAACAAAACCATTCTGTTGATAATCAAATATATCTTACCACCTCGTTCATACTCTATTTTCTACATAATTCTCTGAGCATTCACCTTTTTATAATCAGGAAAACATAACAGCAACGCATAGCACGGTTTCGGTAGTATAGCGATCAGATCGTCATCAAAGCCATACACATCCACACATTCCACATTTCTTTCAACACCCATCTTATGCATGAACTGTAATTCTCATGTTACACTCAAAATCAGATTAAAATCATATCTCCATAAACATCAACTTATGAATGTAACACACAACTCAATGTTGATATAATATGAATGAATCTCAGTTCGATGCCATAATGAAGGAATGAGCATTTGGGTGGTTAAATTAAGAAGAGCAGCTATTATAAAAGTTTATAAAAACAAACATTAGTTATGATTTCGGGGTTCGATTCTAGTGGTAGCCATTGAACGTTCGACATCTGCTTTGAAAAGGATATAGTTGTTTATTCTGAATAAATGACTGTTTTTAAGCAACGGCCGATGTAAGAGACGATTTGGTGAAGATGTATTACAGATATACATATGAGTCATCGCCGATATTGTAACATGATTTGGTGATTAGAGGCGACGAAAGAGGCTTGTAAGCATTTATTCATTTTAGCAACAACAATACGATACTGATGCTGCACACACAGATTACATAAAATAACTGAAGCATTTTCGATGTGGAATTGGTTACGTGTACGCAATAACAGAACCATGCACACACTAACATCAGCAAATGAAAACTGAACGAAGGCACAAAGAAGGATAAACGAAACGCACAGGTGGGATGCTGGTGCTGATGCTAGCATACTGACTGCTTCTAATAATCAGAACAGGTGGATACATTCACGTCGCAGCATCAATCATCAACACATTCAGCTTCTCTTCATCTTATCAAAAAACAACGCCAAACCACAGTCGTTCAATAAAATCCCCATTCGCAATCAACTGATTTCAATAAAACCAAAACGCAAACTCCCTCGTGATAATAGCAATAACAAATAAATAAATAAAAACCAAACTGTATTATATGTGATCACATGACAACAAATAAACAACCAGCAATGTATCACTTCAAAGTCGATAATAAAATTAATACATTCATCTGATATTAAAATTGGGCATTAATGACAGTGATAATAATAAGTATTGCATAATAATTCAAATAACACATGGAATTATCACTTAAAGAATAGATTCAAATGAGAGAATGAATCCATAATATGAATTTAGACAACAATACTTGATTCGCTTATTTATTCCACAGACGACAACAAAAACAAATGATAAATAATCGAATAGGTTTGATTATTTCTTCTTTTTATCTTCAGTTTTTTTATTGTCACCTGAAGCAGAAGCAGTAGGTTTCCTGTGGCGAACACTTTCATCGGATGAATCTCCTACAATGAAGAATTATTAGAAAAGGGAGATAATAAGACACAATATGATGTGAAGTGGTGAATGTTCACCTCACAACTTCAGTGTATAAGCAAGCAGAGTGATTTATTCAACTTCATCTTTGCTTATTGCATGAATGCATTTATGATAATCGACAAAACAACTGCTTTCTGAACGAGTCATTACAATTAGAATGAGCTATAAAGACCTTCTTGAGATGCTGCTTTCTGATCCTGTAAATGTCGTTCATCCTCCTTCTTCTTTTGCTCATCCTTTAAATTCATTCATCATTATTATTATGAACATACTCATTTAACAGAAAAAGAAAAACCTTTTTATTTTTCCTATTATGATCCTTTTTCTTGTCCTGTTTCAGAGGTTGAGGCGCAGTCGGGAAGACACGATCAATAATGCAAACAATGAAGAATCCAAGCACACAACCCAATGCGAGTGTTATTCCGGCGAACAACGAATAAGATGCCCACGACGGTACTCCAGCTTCATTGTGACAATCATTTTATTATATTTCATCATGAAGAAACAACTTAATCTTAGTAATAATACCTTCTTCAACGAGGTAATTGTGCTTGTCACGAACGAACATCGACAGCTTGAAGAACCATGCCACCACGCTCATCCTTCAATAATACTTCCATGTAACAAATCAGTTCAACTGAATGCTAGTAATCTAATATAATCAATTAACAAACTGCGGTGAGTCGGGATGTTTATATGAAGGCACCGGATCGGCTAATGACCACTTCTTATCTTCCACATAACTTATAAAATCGTTTTTATCTCTCGCCCCGGAATATGCACGGAACACACCATCTTTCACACTGTAATTGTATTTCGCTTAGTGTTAATCATTATAAAACAAATGAAGAACGAACTGATAGATGGTCGGCAGTGCAGTGACTAGGAAACGTCCTGATAGACCGGGATTCACCGTCACATCAACCTCAGCCACTTTGATATTCAAGTCTTTACTCCAGTCTGCAAATGCATCCCACGCCTTCTGCAAATCCTTGCATGCTGGACACCAAGGTGCGTGGCTAAAAATGCTTTTATACATATCGATACGAATTCGATTATGAAATGCATTCAACTTACAATTCCACCATCCATTCACCCTTTAGCAGGTCACGCCACGACTCTTCGTTTATTGAAATTAAACTTTTACTCGCTGATAAGCATTCGGTTATCGCGATCACTGATAATATCATTACCTTTGTTAAGAGCCACATTCTGACTGCAACGAGTAAACTTGAACTTGGTCATGAACGAAATTTTCGCGTGTAAGAGCGCTAGTGCATTTTCTTAAAAGATCAATCGATGACTGATTTGAAGAGAACATGGGATGAGACTATAGAGTGATGATGACCTTGTTTCATCCATCAATTTTTGAATTGGAATTAGAACATATGGTTGATTGGTCAGCATTGCTGAGAGAGGACAACAAACAAAAATGTTCGTATAGAAATCCGTTGATGATAAGAGAACATTGAAATGGAGTGATATGAAACGGATTACGAGCTGTCATTCAAACACGTCATTAAAAGTTCTTGTCCGAACATCGCAATCCACCAACAAACAACTCACAGTCCAAATAAAACATGGTTCAAATTTAGCTTCACGATGACACTTCATAGTGGATGTACTCAATCAATAAGTCAATTCCAGCACAAACTCACAACACCCATCACCAATATTCACCACAGAACAGCACATCACATCCATTCGAATTGATATCAACAATAAAGTTATAAAACCTCACTCAAACAAAGCAATAACCATAATCGCCATCACAATGACCACATCGCAACTAGCACTTTCGATTCGTTTAAATACTTGCAAGATTTAAACACAACCGAAGCGACTTTTACTTCATTCAATATTATAATCGGTACTTTTGCACTGTAGTGCATCCCACCCCATGCGCCCATCGAAAGAGAATAAAGGGATAACCTCAGCATAGGCTTAAGCGTTCCCGTTAAGGGGTTACCATGGGGTGGGGTCCACTACATCGCAAAAGTGCCTTATAATCTTTATTTTTATAAACTCCTATTATCAAATAAACTCAGACCTATTCAGAATTCGATTTTAGTTAGGTAATTTTCTACTCTTAAAAATGTTCGCAGAATCGAACATTTCCAAGTGGTGGATAGGTATGAATGTTAGTGGATAATGAATGAGACATCATATATGCATCGGTGTTATAAGTAAATATGATGAAACGAGAAAGAATAGTGATGTAATAAGAATGTTAATCAGTTGGGAATGGATCGAAGAGATCGCTTTAAAGGGAGTGATGTGAATGAACGACCTTCATCGATTTGTCTGGAGGTGGTGACGGGTTTGAGAGTTAGAAGATGAATTGCAACTTCTAGAACGACGGTGTGGTGCAGTGAATGAATGAATGAAGAATGTGACATGCCATGTTATATAAAAGAAACAGGTAGATACAGGTACACGTCAGCAGTTATTTGAATGAATGTGTGGTGGTGATGGCATTCAGTACATACCTATTTAGAAGAGACACAACCCTTCATTTGATGTGTGTGATTCAATTGTATTTCACTCAATCACTTCTTTCATTGCTCACAATTAGATTACGCACCAAAGCTTATTATATCCTGCTTATTATGCATCTTATTATAAAATATCCACTCAATCAGATCTTCACTCATTCAATCCACCTAATTCAAATTATCTTACCCACAATTATTACAATTCTTGTGTCTTCTATCAGTTTGCCTTACACATCATTCATTTGTACAGTGATCCATCCCATATAGTCATTCAAATACCCTTCAGAAACAAGTATAACCATTCATTTACCTTTTATCATTACAACACTTAATTCCTTTTCTCTTCTTCAACTATGACTCGATGACGCTTTTATCGATGAATTTGGAAATCATTTCTACTCGATTTAATTCAGTTACTTATGAATCACACAATCACATCAATACATCACACAACCACAGATACGCTTTCAAACAAATGAACATCAACTCTTCATTTAGTACAACTAGTGTTTGCAAAATATCAACCATTTCTTCAATGCAGAGATCGGTATTAATACCGGTATCGTTTTTCAGTACCGATACGATACTAGTATTGAAAAGCAACTTTTGAAAGATAGAAATGTGACTCGTTCCACACATTCTTTTTAAGCCAATGTGTTCATAATTATTCGGAAAACAATTATGTAACAAATCACTCACCAAACCTCAAGAAATTCAACAAAAAACAAAAATGGGTATGATTCATGCTCCAGTTGTGATGGATGTACTACCAAATTCATTTAAAATAACTTGTGGCATGAATACCGGAAATACGGTGAATGTCGACACCAAGAATCCTGAGATCTGTGTCGCTTTTCTAATACCGGTATTCGGTATTACCGAGATCTCGTGCAAATACTAGTCAGTTGATAAAGGGTGAGTTTAAATTATGATGAGAACCATACGGATTGCAGGTCTATAACCTGTTCACTATGTTGATAAAAAGAGTGTTCTCCATATATAAGTGATTGGATGTGGTGTGAAGAACTTGACGTTGGAATCAACATGCAGAAAAAATTACAGAAGGTTTCGAATACGTTGCACTTACCGAAAAGGATTGAGGATTCATTTTAAGTTACAATTTCGAAAACTAAACGTTCATTTTTGCTGAAAATTTGCTGGTTTGTAGAGAATTAAATTCTCTTTCCAATAGACCAGTGGTCGGCAAGTTGGTTTAACAGCGGGCCAAAACTTCTCCGAGCAACTGATTGGCGGGCCAACATGTTTTTATTGTTTTTTCCTTTATCTGTAGGCTTAGGCTTATCGCAAAAATCGTGAAATAGTCCAAGCAAAGTAGCTCCACAACGACGTGCGCTGGTTAAGTAAAGGCCAAGCGCTGGAGCGCTTCTGGCATTACTGGATGAGGTCAAAGCCTTCCTGAGCCTATGCAAGACGCGAATTACAAATGACCACCTTGCCTTTCTACGAGATGAAATATCCATGTCCAGTGTGACATTTTTGACTGATATTTTCGGTCATCTGAACCAACTTAACCTTCGGCTGCAGGGGAAAGGCAAAATCATTGTGGACATGGCTGAAAAGCTTGAATCGTTCACCAAGAAAGTGGAGTTGTTCCAGTCAGACATAACAACTGGTAGGCTGCTGCACTTCGTTACACTGAAATCACAGGCACGGGAACAAGTGACAGATATAATGATGGATTTCATCAAACAGCTACAGGCCAACTTCAAGTCCAGATACGACTACTCCATCCCGAGGGATATCATCGCTTTTGTTCGTGGCCATCTCGCTGTCCGAAGTGCGGATATATCCTCCCTGGCTAAGGAAACCATCCCTTCGTTGGATGAGGCCGCATTTTCGTTGGAGATTATTGATTTTCAAACAACCTCTGTTGTCAGTGATGCGCTCAAGAAAGCAGAATCCGTGCATAATTTTTGGATAACATGCTCACATGAGTACAGATGGATCAAGAAAATGTACATGTCGGCGACAAACTTTTGGCCCGCCAGAAACTTTTGATATAGAAAATTCTATTTCGAAAATTTTCAGTGTAATTCGAAGAAGCCTCTTTTAGTCCTTCAAAGTCAAATTCTCAAATTTATCTGGCGGACTAAAAAATTCTGCCGGTAGGTCAGTTCTGGCCCGCAATAGACTATTTGGCACTGGCCGATCGGATTTCCGTTTCAACACTTTTATTTCAATCGCTCGTTGAGCAATATTTTGCATATTGAGGATTCACTTCAAGTTACTGCTTCGAAAACCAAACGTTTACTTTTGCTGGAAATTTGCTGTTTTGTAGAGAATTGAATTCTCTTCTCAGTTTTACCTCATGCATACGTTCAGATTACGTGTAGCCTTGAAATATGTCAAATTCCTGCACCTTATGGTTAAATTAATCTGCCTTGTACGAGCTCTTTTTCTCTGCACCCGCCTTAACCTTGTCACATCAAAGCTGCTCTTAGCAAAGCCACATGAGCGTTCGGTTGAAGGTGAAGTAAGTATTAAACAAATAGATGGTTCTTCGGTATAAACCTCAACCGGTACTTTTGCTGATTAGGAGGAGCACACGCTCGCACATGCGTCAGACCAATCCGTGGGCTGCGCTTGGGCTTATGCTGAGACTATCCCTTTTCTCTGTTTCGTAAGGAGGAGCAGGCTTAGGCTGAGGCTATCCCTTTTCTCTCTTTCGATGGGCGTTCACATATATAGACAACGAAATGAGTTTTGCTGTTAAGGAGGAGCACTCCTTAGGAGCAAAACTAATAACCAAGGCGATATGAATATATTTTATCCAATTTATATATGTGAATGCCCATCGAAAGAGAGAAAAGGGATAGCCTCAGCATAAGTCTAAGCGCAGGCCGCGGATTGGTCTGACGCATGTGCGAGCGTGTGCTCCTCCTAATCAGCAAAAGGACCTCTCAGCATAAGCCTAAGCATTTTTATTCTCCGTTCTGCCATTAATGCTATGATTTTATTGATGTTTTATAATTCTTATTGTTTGTCAATATTAATTTTCAGTGTCATTGGTCCTATTAATTTCATCATTATTAAAATGTTGTTGGCTTTTGGTTCTGCACATTTATGGGTTTTTTGGTAATCTTGCATTTAAGGTCAGTAAAATCAAAACAGCATTTCGTTCGTTCACATTCGCAGTTGAGTTATGGTGTAGTTAGGGCACAACAAAAGATGTTCGCAACGCTGTTTCCACAGGCTTAAAAGATTCCAAGAAGGATTTCCCGGGTTTTTCACACTTACTTGTAAGTTCAGAGCACTGCAGAGGAATATTTGCACAGCACTGCAAGGGAATTCAGTAGCATGCAGGGCAACAGTGATTGTAGAATAGGTCGGTAAAAACTGCGAATGTGGACGAACGAAATGCTGTTTTGATTTTACTGACCTTAAATGCAAGATTACCGGTTTTTTAAACATTACTTTTGCAAAGAACACATAAGTAAATTCAGAACAATATAAACTTGCTCGTGAAAGTAAATCTGAATATAGCGTTAGTTAACGCCGCTAACACATTGTGCACAATTAGTACGCAATAGCACCGTCGCTTTAATGTTATGATTCTAAACGAACTGTTCAGAAAAGCTTGCGGATGAGATATGTTGAGGATTCGATCGTTGTTTCGATTGACATCTGCATCTAGGCTGTTCTCAACGCAGAAGGCTGCAGCTTCATTGCCCAAAATTGATAAAGAGGTAAGTAGGTGGTTGCTGTTGTGAGTAGAATGTAGAGCAGATTCAACAACTGTTTCTTCGATTTCAGGCATTAAAGAAATTACGTAAACGTACTGGATATAGTTACGTGAATTGTCGTAAAGCATTACTGCATTTCGGCACTGAACATTTGGATGATGCTGAAAAGTGGTTGAAAGAGTTAGCTGTCAAGGAAGGATGGAGCCGAGCTGCCAAGTTGTTCATTGTGTTTATTCGGTTCTTAGCCGCAGTTAATGTTCTACCAAGTGAATGAATCTAAGTGTTATTGCACTAACCGTTTAAGATTAACGCATCGTCAGACCAAAAATGGCCTGGTATCAGTATTGGTTGATAGACATATTGCAGCCGTTGTAGAGGTGAATTGCGAGACAGATTTCGTTGCTCGTGGCAAGCACTTCAAGCAGCTGGTTCGTTTCATTGTTTCTAGCAAGCATTTATCATTTCACATGTTTGTTGTTAAGGTGGAAGAGATCACTCTGTCGGCACTGAATGCATCACGAGAACATGCTGCTACAAGTTCGGCATCTGCTGATCACCTCGTTGTTAAATCTAAAGGTTATCTGTTTACTCATATCTTTGTTGTCTTCATCTAATCAGCAAGTAATAACCAACCCATTTCAGAATACGATTCATTGAAATCAACGTCAACAAACGAATCATTGAAAGAACTATTAACGTTAATGATCGCTAAACTCGGTGAAAATATAACCGTATCAAAGTTACAGTTGATTATCGCTGATCCTAGTGTATCTTTATTTGGTTATGCCCATCCTCAAGGTAAATTCTTTTTTTGACTCAGCGAGATGAATTCCTTTTATTGCTTGAACGGTACTGTTTGATTCAGAATAATCAAGTTTCCAGAAGGTACAGAACGTGTTGGAATGGGTAAATTTGTATCTGTTGTTGGTCTGAAACGATATGCGGATGGAAAGTTTCCGATTGAGCGATTGGCACAACAGATCTGTCAACACATTGTTGGGATGAGGTGGGTATATATTTCGGACGATAGTCATTAGATATATTGTTATATGCTCGTAATATGACTGATTTAAGATCAGAAACATTGGGACAACAGTCGACTGAATCGAAATCAAAGCATGAGAATGACGCAGGTGGACGAGAGATGAGTAGACGTGAGGAGAGTAGTGATTATGATCAAGTTGAGGTGAGCAATCACGTTTGTTGATTCAGTTTGAAGACACTGTTTATCAGAAACATTAGTCCATGTTGTGTACGCTTTCGATAAGCATCGCTTACGTGCCAATAAGTCATTCATTTACAAAAACTTTCGTTCAAATCAATAAATATCTTCTAATTTTTTGAGATATATTCTCAGTTTGATATTGACATTATGTGCTGTTCACTGATAGTGATTAATGCTTTCAGACAACGTATATAGATGAATCAGAGAGACGTTTATTACAGCAAGCCTTCATGTTGAATCCATCACAGACCGTTTATGAGTATGTCAGTGGTCATGGTGTTAAAGTTGTTGACTTTTATAGAGCTGAAATTGGTGAACGTAATAATGATTGATGTTCGTTTATTTCGAAATGGGAGTTCAGTGGGAGTAATCGATAGATTGAGAAGTGCGTTTTGCATATTGAAATGTTTTTGTTTTGAAGGGGGCAGATTTCTTATAGCGGGTCGTTTGTGTGTCTTGATTTGTACATGTCACATCTCATGTTGATTGTTTTCATGAATTGTGATGTTAAGGTATGCGAAGGAGTTGAATGTGCTTTATTTAATGCAAGAATGAAAGTGGTTGCAAATTAAATATTGAATATAAATCGGATTCAAATCCTATAACAAAGTCCATGTTCTGTATTGAATGCAAGAATGGAAGTGGTTCTAAATTGAATATTGAATATAAATCAGATTCATTTCTTTCGGCAAAGTCCGATCTTCTTTTTGCAAGACGACCCCGGAAACGTGGTGCAGTCGGATGCTGAGTTGCACGCTCTTCCTCTTTCGTAAATCTGCTCCCCAGGTCGGTTACCTCTGCAATTGTGGTCAACCGATAACATCGCCACTTTCTTTACTCATCTCATTTATTAATTGAATAGAATGAAACTTACGGTTGTTCATACATACACACTGTAATAACAGTCTCATAATAATTCCCTTCCCAGTAGACATTACAGTTCATTGCAACACCACAACCCACTCTTGTTGTTGACCCCCATATCATCTGAAGCGTGACAGATATTATCATAATTATCAGCTATTTTGTTAGGAATAAGAATTATTAATAATGTAGTTTATTGTGAACATTTGTGCTAGTATAAGCGTCCACATTCAATCCAACAATAAGCCTCATAAGTGGTAGGGATTAATATCGATTGTGATCTGAAGAATGTTAAGATAAAACCTGAGTAGCAGTCGGGTTTGGATTATTCTGCGAAAAAATCTCAGCTCTGACTTGACCATCCTTCACAGGTTGTGCCCACTGTTGCATTGAAGATGTGATTGCTTCAGCTAAATTTATATGTGATTACTTAAGAGGAAAAACTCAGTATGAACAATGAGTAATATGAAAATGCGTACAAACACTGCCAGGTTTTTTGTTAGTTCCGTCGTAGCTTATACTGCCTGGAGGCGAGCTTGTTATGTCACATCTTTCCGCATATTCCTGCGCCCTTCTCTCCAGATCGCAATCGTAATCCTGAGCAGAGCAAGAGATGCAAATCTGTATCATTCAACTTATATAAATATATAATAGACTGACCAAATAGTACATGTTTCGTGCCGTGTCCACATTTCGCAATTTGCCTAAAGCAACATCGCGTCTGAGTGCATTATGTCTCTTAGCGACTAGTTTACGAAGGGTATCAGTCATTACATTCGATGTGCATCCTTAAAATACGTAATTATTTATCACTGTTTGGAGTGAGTAATGTTCGATGATATAACAGGTAGTAATAAAGATTACGTTGTCCCGATGGTGATGGCGTAACGGGTGGTTTTGGACGTGGATTCGGTTCAGGTGCGGTGTATCCTCTGGAATAGAAGATTGCATTAAGAGCCGGCCAGCAATTATTGGTGAATGAAATGAACAACTAACGGTGCGATACAAAGATTGGTAGATCGTTCACAAGTCGATCCACTGTATAAAGTACAATCTGAATTCTGACTGCATCCATTGCCGAATTCATATATCTGCTGGCCCGGATAGTTAGCTCTAGAATATGCACAAACCTGTCAATCAAATAAGTACCATTCCAACACTTTGTGCATATGATACGATCACCTTATAATCACAGTCATTACTCACACCAGGTGTTCGCATCGTATCCCAGTGTC